AATCATTTTGTCTCGTAAGATTCCATTTTTACTGGTGCGTCGTTACATGCCTACCGAGCAAGTCGTGAGTCAGATTAAAATTGACCTTAATCGATGACATGATTTTCATTGATTTAAATAGATTTTAACTGATGACGCTTCGCATGTCTGCTAGACATGTAACGATTACAACTGATTCTCACACTCACGATGCACCCATCATTTATTGTATGGAAGACTTAATTATTCATGACATGTGCATATGACACGGATGTCATATTTAGATTCATTAAATGAGCAAGACAGCATGGAAGAGTAGGTCAAATACCCTCTAGAGTTATCTATAGTGGAAGCTCTTCTACCAACAGGGCTGCACCCTTACCTTTTCCTTTTACCTAAATGAACGCGACAGAACAAACAGCTGACAAGAGAGAGGACAACAAATCGCAGACTGTACAAATTAACCGAGAGCGAATAAATTATCGGATTAAATCGTGATTATTTATGTAATTTGAGGGGGGCTAAAGGATTACACGGTGATAGGTCTTCTGTCTGCATCAGGGAAGATTTCTTGATTAAGTCAACATTCCTCCTGAAGGCGAGAAACCCCCTACAAGCCACGCCCAGCGTGACGCAGCTGGGCGTGGTGATGACATCACCAAGCCCGGCCCATCACCTGTCGTCAACCGACGTGACACGTGGGCAGCAGAAGCGAGGTCTTTTTATAACCAACAATTTTCACGTTACTCTGTCAGCCAAGTAATTGAACCGAAAACCCGGCCGAGCAATGGACTACGTGAACCATCGGGAGAGGCTGTCCCTATCTCCGTGTACTGACGGGCATCTGCTTCAAGGCAAAAAAATGGCTCTCCACTGCGCTCTCATCCACGAGGACCGTGAAAACTGGCCAGGCCCTTCCCTGGCTGCACGTGCGAATACCTGCGTGACCATCCCACGGGGCTCATTACCGAAAATTTCCCAGCGCTTAGCAGCCATCATTTTTCTTCTTACGGGGCAGCCCCCTGCTCGCCTCTCCTCCTATCTCGGCATTTTGTTCAAGGGGCATATCGAGTTGTCCCTGCGCCCGTCCGCCCGTCCGCCCGCCTTTTTAAAACATTCAACTTTAATTAAAGGCCACACTCTTGGCACGTAAAAAAAAACGTTAACCCTTCTGTCAATACTGTTATGAATGCTCGCGTTACGTTCAGTAGGTGCGAGGAGGATTTGTTTTTCGGGATTCCCACCCCCCCCCTCCAAAAGCCAATTTATCAATTGAAGTTATTTATTTGTTCATTAAGTATTTAACAGGGAGAAAACATCCAAACTCATTTGTAGGTGAGAACAAAATTATTAATTGATTTGATTCCCACCACCATTAGCTTCATCTACACAAACACCCGTGTCTCTTTCAGGTGTCTGCAATATTCTGCACGTAATTTTCACCCTCTTACCAGCTCTACTAACTTCCCTACAAAAACCACACAGCTATTGATGTGTGACACCTTCAGATAAGTCAGCTGTGTTTACAACGGACACTAAATGAGTCCGGAAGTGTGTTCAAACTAATGCCGCCGATTAATGTGTCAAGTGCAAATATCACCCGATGGTTCAATGCAGTCTTTTAGGGGGGTTATTATAGATGGGTCAAGTGTTACGAGCAGAGGTCAAGGGTTCATTTGTTCCTGCAAGCTCCTTCCCGATGCTTTGCCTTACTTGCCCCAGTGTCACTTGAAACGATTCGGCGCTGCATAATCTGAACACATTTGGTCAGCTGCAGTGGGTAATTGTATTCAATATCCGGAGGGAATAATAACTAGAACTTTATACTTAAAAATTTCGTGACTGCAGGTATTAATATTCTTGGTTCTTTTGGTAAAGTCACGTAGATTGAAAACAAATCCTAATTAAAAGCCAAAAACCCACGACGTTTCGATCGCAACACAAGCGGCCTTCTTCAGGTGGAGAGATGAAGACCGCTTGTGTTGCGATCGAAACCTCGTGGGTTTTTTGCTTTTAATTTCAGTTTTCTAGCTACGTGACTTTAGCGAAAGAACCAAGAATATAACTAGAACCTTTACAAATGATTGTAGTAACAGGGTGATGAAGATTAATATATTTCTATACTTTACATACAGTAAATAAAATGTTTTTGAATCTTCAGAATCAGAATATTAAATCTACCCTGGAGGAATCTGACGAGCTAAAAAGATATTTTTTACAGATATCCATAGCCACGAAGACTCGTTGGCGCAGTTGTTAGCGCACTATGCTATGAACCCAATCACCTGAGATCGATTCCCAGCCATGGCGAACATCAGAGGCGAGTGATATCTTAACCGATCCTGGGCACCAACCCTCCACTTCACCAAAACCCACAACGAACAGCGAAATATGGTCAAACATCCTTCAAGGCCGACTAAACGTGGGGAAGCCTTCATCCAACAGTGGAGTGACTAAAAGACCACAAATAACATATCGACAATAGTATAATCTAACAGTTACAGCCCTGAATAAGCTGCAATTAATTAATGCATAGTTCAGGGCAGTTGGCTTTAGCTCTGCCCCAATCTCTATCAGTGGCAGTCGTAATTCCATTTCTCCAAAACATTAAATATCTACATACATATCCTATTCAACTAATCATGTAATGGAATTATTTTCTCGACTTTCAAGCGCACAGCCGTGTAAAAATGTTACGTGTTTTTTTTATGCAAACGCAGCAACTTTCCAAAACACAACTTGGGGACGTCAGCATTATTTTATTTCCCGGATGCCAAAGCAAAAAAGGAGCGAGCGGCTGGGCGGGCGAGCACATTCTGCGCACGTGGCCACCGTACTCGGGCCAAATTAACGAGTCTCTGTGGCTGTCGGCGACACCCCCCCCCCCGTCACCCGACCGGGGCCAGGATGATCAATCCCTGGGAGGCAGCGAACGCTCGTAATAATGGTCGGGTTAAAAAGGGCTTATAAAACTACTACGCGGTGCAATAATTCCGACGGTGGACCCAATCCTTCACACTAGGCCACCTGTTTGGTACCACTGTCAAGGGTGGTCATTGATCCGGGGAAGCTGGGGGGCATCGATCCACCCATGTCAAGACGACCGTGGTTGTGGGGGGGGTAGCAGCTTCTGCATGTAAATGATGAGGAGGGTTTCTGTTTCAGCTATGCGTGCCCCTCAGCACAAGCGGTGCGCGAGGAATACGCTTGTACAAGCGCGGCTGCCAATTATTAAGGTGGTGGCGCTGCAAAGAATCTGCTTACAACCGGAAAAGCTCATTAGCGACATAACATCCCAACAAAGCAGCATTAAAAAAAAATGGGACAAGCGTCTGCTGAGCGCGTTCACCGAGAATTATTTAATATGGCAAACGAACAAGCGCAGTGTTGTTAGATGGCTGCATGGGTACCGCACGCTGCTGGTTGAGCTTTCCCATCACTTTGCAGAAAGATATAATGCAGAAAGGGAGCTGCAGGATTTTTGTTATTGATGTTTAAATCCATTCGTACGCAACCGTGAAGAATTACAGCGACGTCAGGTCAGTGGGTTTTGCAAATAAAACGTTCATATGTGTTCATGCGCCAGACACAACAATCAACAATCCTTAATAAAACATTGGCGTTCGGTCAAGCCGCATTTTACCAGCTGAACGCATTTATCCAGCCCGTCCGTCGACATGCACTCCCCCCCCCCCCGCGTCACTGAATGGATTCACGTTTATTCGTCGGCGTGAAAAGGGGTTAACGCGCGAGCGCATGAAACACGGCAAAATTATTAAGCATCCGAGACACACGAAGCCGCGGCGCCGCAAGTGTCTCTGTTACAGGAGCACACGGTAAATTAACTTCGGGAGCAGCGACTTCTCCCACCCCCACCTTCTTCTCCCCCCAAAAAACAGATTATGTGCTTTTGGAATACTTTTTCTTCTTCTATTGCCGGACAAGTGGTTTAATAAGTCCCCGATATTTATTGGCCGGACACCTTTTCTCATAAAACATATCCCCCCGGGACACCCTGCCCTGCGAATATCAAGTTATCTTGAACCTTAATGCATGAGTGATGTTTGAGAATGTTTTCTTGTTTGTAAAAAAATATATATACACGTGCACTTCAAAAAAGGAACCATATTTATATAATACTACTTTGGGTAATGATATATTTATTCTAAATAGGCACGAAATGATTGTTGGATTTAAAATGACAACGATCACGATAACCACGCATGTGAGATTCAGTAATTTTAAATGTACGCAACTTAATCGCTCAGGGTAGGTCGAAGGATAATGGAACAGATGAGACGGAGGGTACCAAAAGGACAATACAAACGAGACAAACTAAACAAGTAGTCAATGACGAAACCGATTTGACCTACGAATAAAGATAATTCACCAACCTGTGGGATGTGGGGTTGTTACAAGGTTTCTTCACGCTACATTTCCACCACAATCACAGAAGCCGAGCCACGGTGAGCCATTACCAAAAATGACTGAGCATGGCTCATTTCTTCTTCTTCCAGCGCTTTAAGAGCCACGTGGGATCATTGGTTTCCAACCCGCCCACCCCATCCTTCGGTGCTCTAAGCCTTCCCCCTTTCCTCTGCAGGTAAGGGGATTGTAAACGTTTATTTTTTTTATTAACATTTAACATATATACTTGGGATGGATCAAGCTATCTGAAGCACGAATATTATTACTTCTATAATCAACCACGGCGTTCTTACACAAACCACAGTCCTGGAACGAGAATTGCCGCTGAACACGAGTCTAACCGCATGACAATTTAGGGCCAAATCAGAGGCCTGTTGGGGTGCTTGAAGCGTGAAGCACCCTCATAGAAACGAACCAGGCAGCCCAGCTAATGAGAGCCGCAGTGCCAGCTCGGCACTTGTGCCTACCTACCGTGGGGAATCCAGGCCAAGACCACTCGCTAACCGAGCTCTACTTTGCCTTCCAGCTGTCAGGGGAAACGTGGAATGTCATGGAGCAACATGGCACGTATGAAGTGACGGGTCTGTCCGTACCTTGTTCGACCACTTGTGAGCCTGCAGAAGTTGGCTGTAGATAGGAGTCTTGTCCTGCACGGGATCAAGGCTGAGGAGGCCACTGTTGTGCAGGGGGTGGCTCTCCGACGGACGGCCGACGAGGTTGCACAGACGGTCCAGGTCACTGTCAGAACGCCAAGAGCGACGCGAACCGTGTGACAATCTCAAATAATTTCATTAAAATCGCGATCTTAAACATCACCTTCTTCTCTTCATCTATCGATGAACGGACAGTTGGGCAACATTAGTCATTGAATGCTCACATCATTACAAAATAGTAATAGCATGTTTAAAATACTCAGTGATTAAACAATAAACAGGTACAGTATCCATCATCATCAATCATATTCCATTCACTGCTATAGAATGTTCGAGCCATACCTCATTTTATATTAAATTAAGAGCCTTTAATGTTGAAAACGTTGTAAATGATTTCCACCGAGGGCAACCCCTTTGGTGAAAAAGCCATCATTATTATTTATCCAAAATGTCTTAAGGCTTGTTTTTATGACGGGTACTGCATAAGGATGATTGTCCAATACCATTATGGGAAGAAACTCGAAAAACCAGAAAAAACCCATGCATTTGGTGGCGAGATATGAACTACTTTGCCTGATATACAGGAGGTCCTGGGTTCGATCCTTACCCTGATGCCTGTATATTTGGAGTTTTAATGTTCTCCGCGTGGTCGTGTGGATTCTTTCTTCGGATCCTCCGGTTTTTCCCTCCACATTTAAAATATTTGGCTGCTTTAAATGACCACATGATAAGCCACTTCGTTGAGCTATCATTTGTGGTCAGGTCGTTTCTGAAAAATATGTAGATAGCTCAGTGGGCCTTACCTGGTAAAATGATATAATATAAAGGAAAATAATAGTTGGGTGACACTCAGCCACTATCGCCTCTGTCGCCACATCTCGCAGACCAACATCTCGCGAGCCCTGGGAGTCACTCATCTAAGTGCATAGTAAGTAACCAAGCTCAACCATGCACAGCTTCCGAGACCTGACGAGATCGGGAGAATTCATGGCAATTTGGTCACGCACACATTATCTTAGGTAACAAATAAAACACCGCCACTGTCTGGACGTAAACATACCGCAGCCTGATATTCGCATGGATGTGTGCCAGAGGCGCCACAGCCGGAATGTTAAAATGGGTGGCCCCTCTGACATAAACACTTGACTCCCTGAACTTAAAAGCAATATAGGAGGCAGGATGGTGCTCAGGGCCATCACTGATCCCCGTGTCAACCGGATAAACGGTTTATATCGAAATGAGCGCCTATTTCACATTTTCCTCCAGGCGAAAAAATATTCTTAATAATCTATATGTATCATTATCACTGATCGCTTGAGCGCAATAATCAATTGCAATAAACCAATCAATTCCGTCGGGTCCTGCCCTAACCTTCACACACGATGACCTTGCGGCTTCCAACCCACTTTGCGGGCGTGAACCCTTAAAGATCCCGTTAAAATAACTGTAACGGGGCCACGGCCAACGAAGCCAGTGACACGTATTGTTTACACAGTACAAGACTGCATAATATCTGACCTGTAAATTTGGTCCTGTTTGTGGACACCATATAGATCTGAGAAAAATGTAAACAAGATTTTTGTTTGTTTCTCTCTCAACTAGCTTTAAAGGGGGCCGCTTACTCGAGATGATGGATTACATTTGTAATTTCATAAACAAGTTCATAAAGCCTTTCATCGACGACAGACAGAAGTTTTGCAATAAATATAATAATTAACCTGTTCTTTTTTTTACAATTTCTATCTACTATCAGACACTAACAACTACTCCAAAAATGTGTATTTTTTTCTGCAAAAAAACGAATTGTTGAATTGATCCAATGTGTTTTATATTTAAAGACGTACCCATCGGAAACCGCTCAATTTAAAGATTCCGTTCTTTTTTTGATTAGAGAGAACAAACATTTATGAACTTAATAGTCTATGAGGGGAAGCTCATAAAATGCGTATTTTTTTCGTTCAAACCCGGTTGAATCCGAAATATCTCAAAAACAATAAAAGATAGAATGGTTCTCGCTTTAATAGTATTTGCTGTTTAAGGCTCTATCAAACGAAAAAAACCGCAATATATTTTGAACGGCGGATTCTGAATGACACGCACATGTTTATGGGGCACTTAAAATCGAGATTTGAGGGGCTTAAAATGAAAAATCTCGGATTTTCATATTTATCCTGTTCTTTATGTCCTAAAAACTACCTCTGAACCAAATTTCAGCTTCATACCTCGTCGAGAAGTACCCTAGAGGTTGTTGAGACGTCCAGGTTAAGGTCTTCTTCATTTATATAGAAGACGGATACTCAAAGTCAGAGTGACTGGGGACTTGTATCGGAATTATGGATGTTGACCGGTAACCGTCAAACTGATAACCGTTGTAACAATCGATCACCCAATCTCGAGATTCAGGCAGCCCGTAATCATTATTTACAATTCAACGTCAAGTTATGAAGGCGCCGATTGGCACGCGCGAACGAATGAAGAAACCGCACGGGTGCCTAAGCCACCGCGTGGTAAATCATCTGCCTTCGTTTCGGAGTTTAAAAATTACAACGTTTTAAAAAGTGTATTATTGATAGACGGGGGCGGGGGGAGGGGGAACCGGTAGTTACGGGTCACGCAAAACAAAACAACCCACACGACTCTAAACAACCTTAATCTAACCCAACACACCACAAAGCACATTCACAATTCGCATCTCTCGCCACGCACTACGGCGTCGTCAACTTGAACGAAACGCTGCCACCCCCCCCCCGCACCCCTCCCGCCTATCTGGACGCACTTGAGGTCTCTGTTGACCCCGTTGAGGTTCTCCTGGAACTCGAGTGCGAACTCCTTCTCGCGTTCCTCCAGCGTCTCCCTGCTCCTCATGCCGTCCTTGAGGCTGCTGAAGAGGCGGCTCACGCTGGAGCGCAGCTGGTGCACGGACGCGATGGCCTGGGAGAAGGCGTCCAGTCCGCCGGGGACGCCCAGCTGATCGCCCATTGCCTCCTTCCTGCTCACGATGAAGACGATGAAGTCGATGATGATAAGGAGGAGGAGGACGACGCCGCCTTACAGTTGCTTCTCCAACTTCCTTCTAGCTGCTGCCGCTCTTGCTTCTCTAGAGCTGTGGGTCAGACTACCACTGTGGCCCCTGCTTCCCACGTGGCTTCTCCCGCTGCTGAAGATGCCTCTCCTGCTTCTCGTCCGCCTGCTTCTTAACCCTGCTTGTCCCTTCTACTTTGCCCGTTGTCTCCTGCTCCCGCTGTTTCTCCTGTAATGTACCGCTTCTCCTACTTCCCGTTTCTCCTGCGCCTTCTCTTGCTTCACCGTCTGCTTCTAGTGCTGCTCCCTCCCCTGCTTTTGCTACCCCTGGTTCAAGTGTCTCACCTACTCTCCGCTTCCCACCTGCTGCTCTTCCTGCTGCTCTCTGTTAATATCACCCCTGCTGCTGCTCTTCACCGGTGTTGCCTCCTGCTTCTCCTCTTGCTGCTCCTACTCCCCTTGCTCCTCCTGCTGCTTCTCCCCCTGGCTCCTGCTCCCCCTCTCTGCTGCTGCTCTCTCCCCTGCTGCTCTCCTGCTGCTGCTCCTCTCTCTCCTGCTGCTGCTCCTCTCCTGCTCCCCCTCTCTGCTGCTGCTCCTCTCTCCCCTGCTGCTCCTCCTGCTGCTGCTCCTCTCTCCCCTGCTGCTCCTCCTGCTGCTGCTCCTCTCTCTCCTGCTGCTGCTCCTCTCTCCTGCTGCTGCTCCTCTCTCCTGCTGCTGCTCCTCTCTCCTGCTGCTGCTCCTCTCTCTCCCCTGCTGCTCCTCTCTCTCCCCTGCTGCTGCTCCTCTCTCCTGCTGCTCCTCTCTCCTGCTGCTGCTCCTCTCCCCTGCTGCTCTCCTGCTGCTGTTCCTTTCTCTCCTGCTGCTGCTCCTCTCTCCTGCTGCTGCCCCTCTCCTGCTCCTCTCTCCTGCTGCTGCTCCTCTCTCCTGCTGCTGCTCCTCTCTCCTGCTGCTGCTCCTCTCTCCTGCTGCTGCTCCTCTCTCCTGCTGCTGCTCCTCTCCCCTGTTGCTCTCCTGCTGCTGTTCCTTTCTCTCCTGCTGCTGCTCCTCACTCCCCTGCTGCTGCTCCTCTCTCCTGCTGCTGCTCCTTTCTCCTGCTGCTGCTCCTCACTCCCCTGCTGCTGCTCCTCTCTCTCCCCTGCTGCTGCTCCTCTCTCTCCTGCTGCTGCTCCTCTCTCTCCTGCTGCTCCTCTCTCCTGCTGCTGCTCCTCTCTCTACCCTGCTGCTCCTCTCTCCTGCTGCTGCTCCTCTCTCCTGCTGCTGCTCCTCTCTCCTGCTGCTGCTCCTCACTCTCCTGCTGCTGCTCCTCTCTCCTGCTGCTGCTGCTCTTAACGTTTCTGCCGCCGGTTCCTCGCGGCCTACTCGGCCCCGCGTTATATTTCCCACTGCGGATAAACGCGCGCGCCTTCCTTCGTGATTGCCCATTGGCTCTTGGGTCGGGACCGCTCTGACCAAGCCAACCAATGGGGTCGCTTCGTTGCGCATCCGCTCTAGCGAATGCAACGGGCCTTCCTACTCGGCTAGATCGTCCCCAGCGATCATCCTGTACGCGGTTCAATAGACTTAGCTTGAATATTAATACACTCGGGGTTACGTCTTTTATATCTTTGCTGCCTTAACATAACCGTTCTATTCCCGGCATAATTACCACGTTTTTTGATAACGAAATGGATCGTAATTGCGGGTTGTAAAATATATAAATTGTTAATGAAATGCCACGCGGTGACGTCACTCGCGGCACCTTTAGCCCAAGTTAAAGTGTAACAACAACAAAACATCAATGAACGTTTAACTTTTAATGCATAACTGTCAACCCTTTATCAGTGCCCCTACCTTATTACACAGGCCACTTCACGCCTTGTTGGTAACCCCGTGCCCTTATAAATCTCAAAGTTCTACATTGGGGCAAACTTAACATATCTTAATGTTCGACGGCTTGTGCACCAGATCTTATTTATTCACGATGTACTTACAAAAAAATCCGCAGACTACCTGCTGGATCTCTCTGTTTCAAAGAACAAATTTGACCTCAGGTCTTCGCTCATCTACCAGCTTCACATTCCTTATTGCCGTACAAAAACCGGAGGAAGGGCCTTTGCTATTGATGCCCCCAGGGTCTGGAATGCTATTGCCAATAAACTGCAACTTGAATCACTACCTATGAGATCTTCACTCAAAACTGCTCTAGAGGAGTTGTACACCCCTGCTGCCACTGCTATTCAGTGGCCTAAAATAAAATAAAATGTTTCGCTCCGGATGACCGCTGCAAAGTATTATCTGTATTTTGATTTAGTGTGCTGATCTTAAAGGTGCATTGAACAATGTGATACTCCGACTGGTGCTCCTGTTGTTTGTGGAGTGACTCATGCAGCCAGCTGTGGCTCTAGGGTTTGGTGTTACATGCTATTTATGTAGTTTATTGTTAAAAATTCGGTCACTGTTCCTATGATCACTGTTACATTGCATTTATGGCTTTATTTTGGTGATTTCTAAAAGTTTTTTGGTTTGGCCATGTTTTTGTTTATTGTTGTACGGAGTTAGACTGATGGCCTTAATCTAAGTTTTCTTGTTGTTTGACTTGCATCCCACTGGGATTTTTGCACACAGCGTTGGTGCACGGTGCTATTTCAGGAATATTTTGATGTTTTTTCCTGGATTTTCTGTTTGCACATGCACAAAGTCACTTTAAGATGTTTCTTGTTCATGTTTTAGTTTTTTTGTTTGTTGCGGTTGCACCCGATTCAAGAGCCAAATGGCTCACAGGGCTATACCAAATAAATTAAACTATGAAACTAACTAAACAAAGTCTCATCACAATGGAGAAACACAAACAAATAGACACAAACAATTTTTTTGGGACCTGAAAACTCAATTTCCCTGTACAAGAATACGGGGTAAACCGTATGTGTTGATAGCGATGTTAACGGGGTAGACGCATTACATTTCACACCTGATATCGCGTCTCCATTATTAAGTACAGTATCTATATTACTCTTTGGGTCTGAACCATCTACGTGACTTTACCGAAAGACCCAAAGAATATGAATTCCTGCAGTCACGAAAGCTTTTAAGTCAAGATTTAAGTATAATCTATTTTAACTGAGCTTGGAATCATAGTTGTTGACGCATATTTGTGTTAAGCCGTTCCAAATGTCTAATTTTGCCTCTGTGTGTTATACTTTAACACCTGCTATTGACGTCTTTGTTAATTGCGGAGAGTGTTTGGTAAACCCAAACCCATCATTCCTTCGGGAAGGATAAAATAAGCACCACTTTGTGAAGTCAACAGTGGTCTTGTGGACAGACTGACCTCCCGCCATATGAATGTGGAATTACCACCACTGGCTCGGAAGCGCCAATGGAAATGAGTGCCTCTTCTGTACTGCCGCATTAAATGATCTGCGTGCCCTAACTGTGTGGGTGGGGAGCGGTGGCATAGCGGTTAGCGACCCGAGTTCGATTCCCGCTCACGGCCAAACACCAGTGACGATTATCTGAACCGGTCATGAGAATCCCCTAGGTCGACTCAGCCCAAAATTAGTTCCCGGTGTGGTGTGTAAAAACATCGCCACTAGAGAGATAAAGGCGGCCGGGAGTGATGCTGACCACCCACCTCGTGTACCATGCAGGGCTTCATAGGTGCTTGCTAACAGATATATGGGGGGCTGGGGGGGGCTGGAGGGGTATTTTTCTTTGTGGGGAGCGGTGGTGCAGCGATTAGCGCACTGCACTGAGATCCCGGCGACTCGAGTTCGACTCCACCACCAATTGCAGTGCCAGCGAATATTTGAACTGGTCCTGAGCCTCCACGAGGTTGACTCAGCCTCAAATTAGTGAGTGCCTGGCGTTATAAGTGAACACCGCCACTAGGGAGACAAAGGCGTCTGGGCGTGGTGTTATTAGGTGGCACTCTTGAGGGCCAAAAATCCAAGCGGCCAGCAACAAACAGCGCTACGCATGTTGTAAGAGACCAGGCGTCATCGGGATTCTTGTATGGAGCAAGGTTCGAGAGCGTGGGAACAGAGATGATGAGGATGGAATTCCTAAGCGGAGCAGTGCGAGGGCAGAATCAGAAAGAAAAGGCCGTGGACACCTGCAGTGTGGTGCGTGTGTTGTTGTGGGGAGCGGTGGTGGAGCGGTTAGCGCGCTGCGTTACGAACCCGGCCACCCGAGTTCGAATCCCACTCATGGCCAACACCAGATAGATTATTTGAACCGGTCCTGGGCCTCCTCCTTGAGTCCACCAACGGCGATGGTTGTGCCGTTCAGACCTTCATAGGTGCTACTCGCTGACAGCACTTTCCCCAACAGTCTGTCCAGGCTATACGGGGAACCTTTGTCTTTGTGACCTGCAGTGTGGTGGTTGAACAGAGTGCGGATGAGACGAAACTGGAAGACCAAGCCCTCAACACGGGTGGAGGAAGCAATGAGTGAATTTCACAGGAACGGTAGCGATGAAAGAGCCATAAGCAGGCGACTGACCGCCAGTGAGCGAGTGTGACAGAGCGAATCAGCGTTACGGATCTATAATTCTCTCATCAAACTGATGATGTTTAATAAGAGCGGTGATGTGTGTGCTTATTGGCAGAATTGATCGTGCCATGCAAAAAAAATGTTGCAGGGCCGATAGCTTATAAGGGCCGCCACATTACGTGAGCGATTCATTAATTTTGCAAAAAAATATATAAATTACAAGAGAAGGGTGTGTGCAGGGTTGAGGTTGGGGGGTGGTGGGTAATGTGCACTAATGTGACTTTGTAAATTTTAGCTTGAAGACTTGTCATTAAAACGCAGAGATAAATTAAAGTCAGACCTCTCGGTTCGCATCCCGCCTGCCTACGTAATAGCGGCCGGTCCTTTTTTTTTCCTTCTCCAAATGACACTTTGCGTGCCGCGTGTTAACAAGAACGTGATGAATTGTGCATCGATTGCTTTGCTGCGCGTCCATTAATCACAGCACACCGCACTTTGTCATAAAACAATACACTGGCCCTGACGTGTGAGTATAATGTTTTTTTTAAATTCAAGGACGACCAAAAGCCAACCCTGCCAAGAGACCTCCGGTTTGGTAGAGGTCCCCTTTGCCCCAAAGGGCTGGAAGGAATGTTTGCTTTCAAAAGCAGAGGAACAACTCAAGGACAAATTCAGTACTATTTGGTTCTTTCGGTAAAGTCACGTAGATGAAAAATAATAATAATGAAAATAATAATATGAAAATAACTAAATTAAATCACGACGTTTCGGGCGCAACACAAGCGTCCGTCATCAGGTGGGAAAGCATGGACTGCTGCTGATGCAGACTGTTTTAAAAGGTTTCAAATGGGTGTAGCCCAAGGGTCATAAAGAAGTGGCTGGGTCTAGTGATGTTAATGTGAGAAATTAGCATGTAACTGGGCGCGGAAGTAGCTATGATAATGTGAGAGAATAGCATGATGTTAATGTGAGGAATTAGCATGCTTTCCCACCTGATGACGGACGCTTGTGTTGCGC